ATGATAAACGAGAGATATCATGATCTTCATGCATTGTATTTATTATTGATAATTATTCCACCTAAATAAATGTGTAACATTATAACCACCTTCCTATAATTAGTTATAGTTTGTATAACTAACTAACAATAACAAAATATTTCTCCAAAATTACCAACAATGAGAGGAATTATGCACTAGTCTAACAATGTTAAATTTTGTGTGCCTCAATATTCGCACCAATGATTCTAGTGTTAATTAATTTACAATTTCAACAACAAAAACTATTAATAAAAAAATTCAAAAAATGTCTGAGTCAAGTGTTTGATATTGTGTCAAAATAAAGTTTCTGGTCTAAAAATACAGCCTCTAATTTTCATTAATTTTAGCGTTAAATACACAACACTCCTTGCAAGATTCAGTTTTGCTTCCTGTAAAAGATTTTTTTAATCCCCTCTCATAATACTCAGATCTCGTCACTTAGGCCCTCGATTTCCACATTTCACCTAAGATTCCCTCAACTTGTAAGCGTGGAACCTATTCAGCGTGACACCATGGCATTATTCTTTTAATTTTTGTTTAATAATTCACATTGTAAATATTTATTTACCCCTTATAATAGTTAGGATTACCATTCCCAAAAATTACCAAATTCAGCTCAGGTGAAGGAGGACGATGACGACAATTGCAATTGCAGATGAAGAGGAAGGAGACAACATTGAAGCTACCATGTCTGAGGTAAGTGGTTTCGTGAACTGTAACAGTGATTTTATACCAACTTGAACCCTAAGTGATTTATGTTTGCTTGCATACAGAATAGAACTTGAATGTAATATGAACTTTTATTCACAGGATATGCAACATTTCAATGTTAGTTTTTACCATGGGGATGAATTTATTATGGTCAAGCAACACGAGATTATTTACAGAGGGGGTGTTGATACGAATGTATCTGGGCAACACATCGATAATTGGACAATGGAAACCATTTGCATGTTGATGAATAGGTGGAGGTATAAGGAAGGTACTTATAGGTTGTGGACTAAAATATTGAAAATTGATGTTGATTTCTTTCGAATAAGAAAGGATGTTGATGCATACGATTTTGCAGCTTATTCTTATGCAAATCAAGTTGATGGAGATATATTTATTGAACATGATGTTGAGAACATAGAACTTAGGGTAAGGATTCCTAAGTGTGCTAATGGGGTAACAAAAATGGAAGGATTAAAAGATGAGGTGGTTGAAGGGCTAGATGATAATGAGGATGAAAGAGTTACTGCTCTTGTAGATGAATTTGATGGAGTTGATGTAACCCTACTTATAAATGTAGAAAAGAGAGTTGTTGAATTCTTAGGTAGACCCAACAAGAAAATTGAAGAAAATGATTGTTATAGTGATGAATTAGACAATTTGAAATCTAGATGAATCTGGTGATTAAAGGTCTAAGTTTGAGAAGTTTAGAAAATAGCTGCTCAATAAGGACTACAAGTTTAAGTGGGGTATGAAATTTAATTCTCTAGTTAATTAAATCCACATCTTCATGGATTGATTACATCCACATCTTGGCAAGCTCAATCCACTTGAGATGCCAACAGATGATGTTTCGCTTACACCCATGATTCAAACCACAATGAAGCAATGTGAAAAATGAAGAAAAAATGATGAACTAGCAGACGGAAAAGATGAAGAAATGTGAAAAATGTATTGGCCTATGAACTCTAGCAGATGGAACAGATGAAGAAAGAGGAACCCTAATAAATTGAGATTAGAAAGAAATGTCATGGTGGCACAATTTGTAGGAAAAAAAATAATGCCATAGTGTTACGTTGAAAAGATTTCACACTGCTAAGTTAAAAAAATTTTGAGTAAAATATAACAATCGAAAAACTAAGTGACGAGATATGAGTATTACGAAGGAGATTAAAAAAAAAATTTACATGAGTTAAAATTAAATTTCGTTGCAAAGGATGTTATATATTTAACCTTTAATTTTATATTTGCTATTGTCAAAAACATCCGAGGAGCACTACTCTAGTTATTTTCAGCATTACAAGTTATAGTGTAGAATCACCAAACTGATGTGGTGATTGATATACAGAAAGAAAATAATGATATACTTGAATAATCAAGATTTGAAATTATAATTTAACATTACATATAATGGTGACACGAGAGTCTACACCCATGTGAAATGAATGATATGTTCCTCTCTTTCCTATTACTCCATTAACTACCTTGTAACAAATCATCAAAACACAGCTCAAACGCATCTTAAATGTGAATATGATTTCACAATTTTAAATTCAGAAGATATAGATATAGTAGTTTTATTTTTAAGAGTCGGTCCCTAAAAATGTTGAAAAAGAAAAGTCGTTGAGTGAGTTGCATTGTTAGTTACTAGCGTGCCGGCTGCTGTGGCAACGAGATCCTTATCTGTGACCGCATTCATTTCACTTGTCTTAGACTCCTCTAAATTATATAAAAAACAAAAATAAGAACCTTTCTTTCTTTTGTACTTTACTCGAATTATTGAGAATTTTGACTAGAAACTTCTCTTGGAATTTAGAACTAGTCTTCCTTCTTATTTCACTCGCTTAATCTCAACTTGTAGTCCTAGTAGAACTTTCTTAATCACTTCTCCACTTTTCTCAATGTCAGTGCCATATGGCTTTTTTCCCAAAAAATATCTTGAATCAAGTTTGTTAGAGGTTACTTCCTCAATATATATGATTTAAACATATTCGATTTGTAAATAGATTAAATGCATAACTATTCAATTAATTTTAAAGAAATGGTTTTATGATTATAATTTTAAACAACGTTTTAAAATTAGAATCCAACGTTAATTTGATTAAACTATTAAATCATTATACTATTGGTCAGACTAAATGACTGTATTCGATTTATATAAATTATAAATAAAAATTACGTATGAAATAAATTTTTTGACATAAACTTCTAAAGTTTAAAACTTTTTAAAAATAATTTATTTAAATAAATTGAATAATATATTAAATAATGTTGTAACTTCAAGTTTTAAATATTTTTGAAAATTCAAATGTAAAATGTAAAATACAATAAATTATAAAGTTAGTCAACAAGAATAAAAATTTAAATATATTATAATATTATAATACAATATGTTTCAAAAGATTTTTTTAAATTTAAGGAACGAGATTTTTTTATTTTATTTCTTATACAAAATTTTGACGAGTTAAAAAATAAATATAGAAAGTTTAACTCTTCAATTCAAGAAATCCATTTATTTTTTTGTTCAATTGGTAAATTGGTTGGATCATACAAGTTTTTATTGGGTCAATCACAACTACAATTTTATGACCTTATTTGACAACTCTATTCTTTGATTTTCGATCTAATCGGTTCAATCAGATAATTTGTGTTGAATTTTAAAATACTAATTTTAAGTGTGAGAATTCTCACGATTTTGTCATTTAAAAAAAATGTCTAATTCGATTGAAGAATATAAGTATCAAATATAAATTACTTTTAGTTTCGATTCTCAAATAATGTGTGATTATTTTGGTTAATTTTAAACAATTGTCCTCAGTTAGACTAAGGGGCTGAGTGCAAGCATGTGGCCCCAATCTTTCCTTCTAACATTAATATGCTAACCATCCTTAAATATGTGTCATTGCACTTACATGAGCGGTTTTAAGGTACGGTCAGGCTGGGCATGTGGCCAGGCCCAGACTCTAACCCTTTCTTTCTTTTTTTTAAATTTGAGGTTAAAAAAAGGGGTAAATAATAGGTAAAAAATGGGGAAAAAAAACATAAAAGTTAAAAAAGAAAAGGAGAAGAATGAAGCAAAACAAATACAACGACTACTACGACAAAGCAAGACCGCAACTTTGGAACTTGAATCTGCGATCTATTTTTTAGATGTTTTGGAGTGAAAATACATGCTTTTTTTTTCAAGTAAAGACGTGTTCTTCCGGTGAAAAGATATGCTTCTTTTTTCCTTTGTGAAGACTTCAAATTTTGGCTATGAAGATTGTTCAAAATGAGAAACATTTGGTATTTTTATTGATTTACAAACTTATTGACTTAGCTTTAATATTGTCGGTGTCGACAACATCTGTTGAAAGAACTTTTTCAGCAAAGAAGATTATCAAGTCTAAATTGCACAATAAGATCAACGACATGTGGTTCAATGACTTTGTGGTATGTTACACCGAATTGAAGATATTCAAGTCACTTGATGACATTGATATTATTCGAACATTCACCACAAAGAAGCCTCAGAAAGGACATTTCTCTCCTGATTTTATTTAACACGCTATTTTAAAGTTATGTTTCATCTCTTTTATTTTAAATTATATTTTTATTGACAAAATAATAAGTCTCTTCTATTTTAATTAATAACTATTTATATATTATATACAATATAAATTCGCAATATTTAAATTTTTGTCCAAACTTTAAAAAATTTCCAACTCCTTCATTGACAACTACTAAGCATTAATTCTCGCAATATAAAACACATCTAATTAAATTGTGAATTGTTACTGTCATATATAAACTACTTTTAATCAAATTGTGAGTTGTTACTATCGTATATAAACTAGTTTTAATCTTAATTTTTAGATTATATCAAATTATTTTGATCAAGTCTAAAGAATTATAATAATGACCAAAATAGTAAGAATAATATTGTCTTCATTATTTATAGTAGGAAAAAAAAAAACTTCAGTCCCATAGTGTTACACTTTAATTGACCGACTTATAGTCACTCTTGCCAACCAAGAAACTGTCCACAACTATAAAACGTGCTCCACTATAATATCCACCTGTATTATTCAGATTCTATTATTTTAAATAAATAAATAAATAGTCATATAGTATTAGCTTGCCCACCGCGCTTACTTGCTCACCACTTGTCACGCAACTTCCCCTCCAATTTTCACCTCCTTATAAAACCTCTTCACACACAATCACTTTTCACTCAAACACTTCACAACTCAAAAAAAAATTCAATACCTATCTCTTTTTTCAATAACATGGCTCTAGAAGCACTTAACTCACCCACCACTACTACCCCAAAATTCACGTTCAATGAACCATCTCTTCATCACTCTGAACCATGGACCAAACGAAAACGTTCAAAGCGTTCACGTTCATGCACTGAAGACGAGTATCTCGCTCTCTGTCTCATCATGCTAGCTCGCGGAACAACCACCTCCAACAACCGCCACACTTCCAAACCATTACCGGCAACAACAACCGGTGATAACAACATCAAGCTAAGTTACAAATGTTCTGTCTGCAGTAAAGAGTTCTCTTCTTATCAAGCACTTGGTGGACATAAAGCAAGTCACCGAAAAAACTCCACCGGCGGTGGTGATGACCATTCAACTACCTCAAGTTCTGCTAACGCCGCCGTTGTAAGCGGTGTTAGATCTCATGAATGTTCGATTTGTCATAAGTCGTTTCCGACAGGACAGGCTTTGGGTGGACACAAACGTTGTCACTATGAAGGCGGTATTGGCGGTGGCGGTGGTGCTGTGACTAACTCGGAAGGTGTGGGGTCCACACATACTGTTAGTCATAGTCAAAGTCACCGCGATTTCGATCTGAACATCCCGGCTTTTCCGGAGTTCGGTGATAATAAGGTCGGAGAAGACGAGGTTGAGAGTCCTCACCCTGTGATAATGATGAAGAAGAAGCCTCGTGTTTTCATGGTGCCCAAGATTGAAATTCCTCATCACCAATGAATGATTAGTTGAAATATTTGAGATTTAGATTTAGTATAAGATTAACTAGTTGGCATCTTTTGTTTAATTATTTTGAAAATTTTGTACATATAATAGTTTGGGTTGGGGGAATTTTTTTTCTTGGCTCTGTTTTTTCTTATATGCGATTGTACTTTTCTTTTGAGTTTCATGGTGGCAATTCAATTTATTTATTAAATTTTTCTTAATTTTGTGAAAATATATGAATACTGGTTTGAGTGGTTTTAAAGTGGATACATTATGATGACATGAAAATGTCCGCGTGATTTGGTTGGAGTGTTTCTGTTTGAATTCTGTTGAAATTGATACCAGTTATGCATCATGGTTCTGTTTCTGCGTGTTGCGGTTTTTTACAGTTGCAATATTGCACAGTTGTACTTCACTTTTTTTAGTACGACGCTTCTACTTCACTTTACTCATCAAAAAGCTATATCAACATAAATAATAAATAAATAAAAACTATAAACTAAACTAAGTTACTTAAGTACACTCTTATTGTCCCAAACAATTCCATCAAAAATAAGAGTCTTCCTCCAATTTCCACCAACTCTCTGCATTCAAACTACCAACATTTGAATTTTTCTTTCTCATTATTTAAATGAAGAAAAGCTATGCAATGTTGAAATATTAAACTTGCTATTTCTCTTTATTTAAATGAAGAAAAGCTATGCAAGTTTGAAATATTAAACTTGCTATAAGTTTGAAATATTAAACTTGCTATTGGCCTATTTGTATTTTGGCTTTTTAGGCTAGTTATTTTAAGTAATTTTGAATAGTGTGATTTGAAAAATTTTGTAATGTTTGGAGTGTTTAACTATATTTTAAATATTTCTGAGACTTTTAGAGTTCTCTTTAAATAGGGATATAATTATACACTTCTGTATCAAGTAAAATATAAAGTTCTCTTTTATTAAGAGTTTTTCTATTTATCAAGTTTTTATTGAAGTCTTTAATATTCCTAAATACTTTGCCTAAACATAAAATGTCTTATTTCCAACAAAGTGGTACTAGAGCTACAAGGTCTTCAAAAGATGGCGAAAGGAGTTTTTTCTTTTCATATGGCGATCCTCACAAAGAACAACTATGATAACTGGAGTGTTGCGATGAGAGACTTAGGTAAGGGGTTGGTTAAGCTTAGGGAAGATATTAGCACCCTAAACTTCTGTATTACTTTACAGGAACCTTTTGTTTAAATTTACTATTTTTGCTTTATTATTTGCCTGAGGGTATATTGCTAAGGGTTAGAAGGTTAAAGAAAAAGACCTAAGGGTTAGTCCTAAGTTTACTCGGCAAGATTCGCATCTTGTGCTTACGTATCCTGGTTAGGGAATGGAATCAGAGTAATCGTAGTTCCCCTCGAAAGGGAGGTTAGAAACTTCTAGACTGTGGTCAAGGTTTCAAGGGGAATAAGCGTTTCTTAAGGACGCGCTTACGTGGAGTTCGGCGACTCCTATTTCTACGTTGTAAAGAGTTGAAATTAGGGTTAACTAGGTATTCCACGGCGGGAAACCCTAAAATGGAGTACGGCGACTCCTTGACCTAATGATAATGTATATGAAGTCAGAGCAATCGTAGTTCGGCTAACTACGAGTGGAAAAAAGAAAAGGGTGAAAAAGAAAAAGAGTGCTCGCCAAGGATTGAGACCTTGTGCCTACGTACTTTTGAGAAAATGAGAAATCAAAGCGTCCATAGTTTGTGGAACCACGGGTAAAAGTAATGTTTGTTGGTTAGTTTTAGGAGAAGAGACATGTTGTCATTTTAAGAAGAATACTCAACTAAACCACCACAAACATGCAGAAGAATGATCTTTGCTTCATATTGAGAGAAGGGCTCCAACTCGGATATAGAATCAATGAGTATGCCACATATCTCTCTCAAGTGGAAAATAAATCAACATTTTTCTCAACTATGTCATGGGGCAGGATAATTACATCTTGACTAAGGATGACTAGTGTCTAATTCTTTCATGGGAGATGGGAACTTAACTGTAAGTTATCTAAATTTGAATTATCTTAAGGGGAATTACCTAAAAGGATGAACAATCTAAGTATATACAACCTAAGGTAATCAACCTAAAGGGGAAACAAGGGTCATACAATGTGTAAAAGATGCAAATGAACAAAATGCAATGCACATGACTATAAAGTCAACCACAAACCCTCCCCTTGGATTTAAACATAGGAAACATAAAGGTTCAAGAGCCACAAATAAATCTCAAACAAGATAGGCATCACGACAATAATATCAAGATAGGACAAAGCAAAACCTCAAACAACAGAGTTAAACTCATGAACAAAAAACAACACGTGGACAAATCAAGGATCAAGTCATGTAATCAACTCACAAGACAAAACAATCAAGAATAAATATCATCAATTAATCAAGACCAAGCATAAAAAATTAATCGAGGAAAAGTAGGCCCAAGACATGAAAGCAAATAACCGCAAAAAAAAATTGGGTGACAATGAATTAGTAATCAAATTAAATATTAATATTTAATAGGATTAACTAATAACTTAATTAATCAATATTAAATAAAAATATTTAAAATAATTAATAATTAAAACATGTTTTTTCTCACATTTTTTAATATTATGAAAATAAAATAATTAAAACCAAGAATCTCTTTACATTTTTTTATAATATCACAAAAACTTAATAAAATATTAAAACAAGAAATTAAAATATTTTCCTCTTTTTTTTTTCCTTTTAACTTAGAAAAGAAAATGAGAAAGACTATTAATTAAGAAATTAAAATTTTCTTTTAATACTATCCAAATCACATGATAATGTCTAAAGCTATAGTTAAAGATATAATTTGTTTTTTTATTTATTATTTTAACCGAAACAATAACATGTATTTAAATCCTTTAATTACAGTTCAAAATTTGAGTCATACAAAGTGAACACAATACAAACATAAGCATTAACCTAAAGTTCAACGAATATGAGTGCAAAAGAATTAATTATTTACACTACAAATAATAATAATCTATAACAATATATATAGGCAATAAACATTTTTGGTATAGCTTTTTTATTTCCAATTTTGTCTCTAATAAATTAATTTTATTACATTCTTTTATTAGTTAGTTATTATTCTTCATCTATAACAATATATAAAGGCAATAGTTAGTTTTGGTGTAGCTTTTTATTTTCCAATTTTGTCCAATAATTCACACTATTATTCCATTAACACCCTTTACAAAAATCAACTACATAGACGGTTAAAAAACTTCTACCACCTCACATTTTTATTTTTTTATATTAAAATTACTTTATGGTTATATCCTCATCTTTAGTAACAAATAATTTATTAATTAAATTTATTAAATAAAAAATAATAATAAAAAACTAATAACTTTTAAAAATAATTAACTGCTTTATAACCCACTAATCCCAAGAATCATGTAACAACTTCCGTACTTAATTAAATTAATTAAATAAGAAATAATAATTAAAAAAATAATAGTAACTTCTAAAAATGATTAACTGCTTTATAGCCCACTAATCGTATTATTGAATGAAATAGAATCATATAACAACTTTCGTACTCAACTAATATTACTATATTTAATTATATATTTAATTGTTTTAATTTTGAAGATTTATAATGTATTTTATTTATGACTAAATTTATCCAAAGCTTTTTCTTAAAAAAAACTGAATGATAATGATTATAAAGTCCGTATACTCTAAGTTTTGATAAATTACATACTTAAAATAATCAAAATTACATATTATCTTTTAAAAAGTTAAATAATTATTGATCATTATCATCAATAATTTTTATCATACAATTTAATGAATTGTACGGATAAGTGAATTATAATTGCCTAAAAAAATTAGTTGTAGTTCTTAAAATACAGTTTTTGAAAATATGATTAACCAATATTTTATTTTATTTTAAAAATAATTTTTAAAAATTTTGAAAAATCTCAGTCAAATTTAAACCGTCTATTACTTTTAAATCCAACGATAGAGGATAAGCAATTTCTTCATTTTCCGCTCAGAATGATATATAAATACCCCTTTCATCTTCTACTTTTTCACATTCAAAATTCAAAAGAATAAACAGTTTCTCAAAATTTCTTACAAAAATGACAAGTCGTGAAAGGGTATTAAGGGGCCTGGAAAGGGAGGAGCAAAGAGGCACATGAGGATTCTGCGCGGCAACATTTGGGGAATTACAAAGCCAATGATTCGTAGATTGCGAGGAGAGGAGGTGTCAAGAGGATAAGTGGTTTGATCTATGAAAAAATTAGGTTATTTCTCAAGGTTTTCTTGACAAAAATCATTCATGATGTTGCTTCATATATTGATCATGCAAGAAGGAAGGTTGTGACTGCCATGGATGTTGTATATACTCTTAAAAGACTAGGAAGAACTTTATATGGTTTCAGAGGTTGAAGAAGATACTCTCTTTTATTTATTATTATGTTATCTTTTTATCGTCTAAGTTGTGTAATTTGTATTCTAAGTAATAGTCGGTGATTATACAATGATCACCATCTAAGTTATCTAATTTGTATTTGTATTTTTAAAAATGTTTATTTTCAAGTATTAGTTGGTGATTATGCAATGATAATCTATAACAATATATAAAGGCAATAGATTGTTTTGGTGTATCTTTTTTTTCCTTCCAAATTTACCCTTTTCAATTTTTTTTTAAATTTTTATTTTTTTCTCACAACGGCGGTTACACAAAGGTTTATTAACCGCCAACAGTTTATTATTTTTCATATCATTATCTTTAATTATTTTATAAATAGTTTATAATTAAATTAAAATTAAATAATTTATCTAGGGAACATGAAATTTTAGACTGACCTATTTTTATTTCTATTTATCCTTTAAAATTTAATTTTAGTTAATTTTAAAAACAAAAATACAAATAAAAAGATGAAGTTTTTATTAAATGATAGTAGTTATTTTGAATCTATAACAATATATAAAGACAAAACATCTTTTTGGTGTAGTCT